ACCTTGTGAAGACCTGTGAAGTTGTCTTCAAGTGGCTAACACCTAATTTCTCACAGATCACAGGTCTAACTTAGTTAAAACGAACTAGCAAATGGGTGTAGTGAAAGCGCAAAATGCCCCACCCAAACCGTAAATTTTTGAAATACATTCAGCTGTCGACGAGCGACTTCCTGCGAAAGACGGCTGCGTGGCGCAACTTGTGTTAACGCGGTGCCTATTTTCGGCATCCATGGTGGATACTACTCAGTAAGAGGTAGTAGTCCAATCTATCCAGGTAATGGGGCCGAAGGCTGGCTAGACGACAAAATAAGCGTTTACAGATGATTGACACTACATATCGCAGAAGTGGGAGCTACGGCAATTATAGACAAGGCAACAATGTATCAGACAGCATGAAAAGCTTTAAGAGATCACTGCTCTGCGGCTTATACGATCTGTGCACCAATAAATCCCCTTTTAATGGGCAACAGTGTAATTCACCTAAAAACTATGAGCAGTAATCACTTATGCTTACTTGTTTAGCTCTTCGACCAAGAGGAATATTCGCTGTGAATTTTTGAAGATTTTAGACATATTATTCAGGTGTAAACACCTTGGGACCTTGAGCTAGCCTGGTGCATCATTGAACGCAGAATCAGTAAATAAATAAACTATCGATTGTGAGGAGGTTTGAAGAAAAATTGCTACTATTACTCAAGCTTGTTGTTCCAAGTGTGCCGGAGGTGAGGTAGAGCGCCGCCCCACCAAAAATCTTGCCATTCTTCCTGGCCCGATTGACAGGTGTTCAATCAGGACACGTCGTGTGTTGGGGGATCCCCGGCAAGGAGATCCCCTCACACCGACGGCAGATTTCCTGGAGAAACTGGAGAATCCCGGGAGAAATCTTGAGAAAAGCGCTAGCATGTTGGGAGAGTTTAGGGAGATGGTAGATAAGATGGTTGATGAGGAAAGGCATCCCATCAGGGTAAAAACTTTTGAAAGGTGTTTTGCATTTTTAAGATTTTCCCGAAACGGCAGGACATGCCTGCGCCCATCCCGTCAGAGAAGAAATAGTGTCAGTGAGAAAACGGCGATTCAGCGCAAGTCACTGTTCAGGAAGAATGTGCCTGTACTGGTATCGGTAGAACTGAAACCAAGCCCTAACATTATTAGAGGAGGTTATCTAAATTGTCGCTTTTATTCATCTCTCAAAGTCATTTACATCATCTTGGGTGGCACTGAGGTATGAATG